TATTTTTCAACACAACGGCAAAGACAACATTGTTGATATTAATATTTTTCGACTCCATTTCAGAGGATTTCATCACTAATGATCATAACAAAACTAACCTTAAAATCACGTCAAGCCCGGAAAAAACCGCAGAGCGTTTTTCAACCCAGTCCCTGAGTCGGGTAATTTGGGCCCACTCTGCGCACGTCACCCCTCAATATCTGAACGACTCCAGCGTAACGGTCCGAGTAAGCACCTGTTAATTTATGAACGGTTTAGAGTTACTCTAGGGTCACTCTCACACCCAGAGTGTTATTTCTAAACGCAATCCTGTTTTTGCCATATGCTTCACCCCCTCGCTCCTTATACGAAAAATGTCAGATTAAAAACTACGGACAATAGTCATCCCAAACCATAGACATAAACACGTTATTATGTATAGTTCATCACATATCTGCGCATACTTGCAAACCAGTAACGGCTTCTAATGGCCTCAATAGTCTTCTCAACTGCCAAATGTCCTGCCCCATCATGATAATACATCAAAATCTGCCTCTTAAAGTTTATGGGCACTACCCATCTCCACTTTGTCTGTTTTACGATAAACACGATTATTTTTTAGTGCAAAATTCTTGTGTTTTTCTCTCGCGGTATACAACTTAGATCAGTGTGTATTTGACAACACCTATTATCCTGCAGCTGCACAGCCAATACCCAGTCATCCTCATCAACATTAACGGAAAACATTTGAATTTCGGCATAACCGTCGCTACCTTCCAACGCCAACGGGCTTCGACTCAAAGGATCTACATGGTTCATTTTGCATCCTGGTCTATATTGGATACCAAAATGAAACTCCTGGTTCACTAACCACCATCGAGTCTGTCACAACCTTAAATGGTTTTCCAATAGGATATATTTTGAATTTTTGAAGGGAATTCACCACCGCTAAAGTCTCTAATTCATAAGAGTGGTACTTTTGCTCTGCTTCAGTTGTAGCCCGACTAAAGTATTGTTCAAGGATTCAAGGATCCTCCTGCTTATTTCTGCAGCAAAATTCCACTAATGCCCCACTTACTGGCATCCGTGTGCACGTTGTGGTCGTATATTGCTAACTGGACGTGTTACCAATTGCTCTTTCAATTTTCGGAAAACGATATCTTCATTTTCACCCCAAGTAAAAGCTTTCTTTATTTATTAAAATTGTCAATGGCTTGGAAATACGGGCGTAATTCTTGATAAACTTCCTGAAATAGCTATCCAAATCAAGAAATCTTCTCACGCCATGTACATTCTTTGGTGTAGGAAATTCGAAATCTGCGTTGATCTTGTATGCACCCGGTCGATTTCATGTCCCAAGTATTCAATTCTCCTTTGCAAAAACCTACATTTGTCCAACATTAACTTCATGCCTGCCTTGCTCAATAGGTTTAGTACTTTTTCTAGAAGTCTCAGACCATTTTTAATATCCACGAAAGGTAGAAGGACGTCGTCCAAATAGGCCAAAATTGAAGTGAATCTTAGAGAACCTAAAATCGCGTACATTGCTCCCTGGAACACACCGGGGGCATTGACAAGTCCAAATGGCATTCTTAGATACTCGTAGTGTCCGTCAGGGGTCACAAAAGCAGTTTTCTGAACTGAATCTTTCGCGACGGGTATCTGGTGGTAGCCCGAGGCAAGGTCCAAGCTCGTAGAGTACTGGCATCCTTTTAATCGATCCAAAAGGTCATCAAGACGTGGCAGAGGGAACTTTTTCCTTACTTTTTTTGGTTTAAGGCTCTGTAGTCCACACACATGCGTTATTCATAATTTTTCTTTTTCATCAACCCAGTCCCCATGGTGACTGGGATTCTTGAATTATGAATGAATGAATGAATTTGATATATTGGTCATATTAGAAGTACCTATCTCGCCCGTTTTCGTAGCAAAACAGAGCCATTCACCTTAGAAAAAGAATTGTCCACACTACTTTTATTACCTTGATTCTTTGACGACTGCTGAGCATCATTTCCCTTGATATTCGCATAACATTGGTTATCTTCTTGTCCGACTCGATTACACTTACCACAAAACCTCCTTGGTTTGTCATATTTCGAAAACACGTATCCACTTTGGCCACAGTTGGAACACTTCACCCCCAAACTGGTATCACGAGGAGTAGTGCGACTTCTTTGTTTTTGTATGACATTTCGGAGATCAGCCCTTGAGACATGGGTAGAAACTTTTCCAACTGTCCCGTTATCGGCCGTCTTTTCAAAATCCCCAGCCAATGCAAACAAGCGCCCTTCATAGAGCGCCTCAGGGGTATCGTACCGGCCTGCTCTAGCAGAATTCTGAACGACGGGGTCGCTTATTCCGTCTATGATGCACGACACGCTTTTCTTTACCGTTATTTCGCATATTTTAAGCAACTCCATCTTTCCAAAATAATAAGTGGTCATTGTTGCATCTTTTTTAAGGCTGCCGCGAAGTCTATGTTTCCGGGAAACGTTTTCCGGATCAGAGCTTTTCACTCTTCCCAACTTTAGTTCTAGCTGGTCTGGCTATGATACCAACTTTTGGCCATACCTGTCAAACGAGACTGCGTGTGATAGATCGTCGTCACATCATTCCAGCCATTAATTTGTTTCAGTTACTCTATCTTTTCTAGCCACTGATTTGCCGTTAACGCCTTATCACCAGGTGAGAATTTGGGGATGCACTCACTTTTCACAACAAGTTTCATTTCGCGCACGCGACTTAGCTCTGCGTTTTCCTTGGAAAGTTTTTCAATCATAAATTCTAATCTTTTTATTTCAGAATTGCGAGCTGAAGCAGGCGGATGAGATCTGGTATCAGTAGTATACTTACTGCCCTTTTTCCTATAACGCTTCACTTGAGGAAGTTCTACTGCTAGATTTGATATAACTCCGTCGGGCATGTTTTCTTGATCTTGGCATTTTAAAAACCAGAAAACTAACAAACAACCTTTGTTGATGACGTAACTTTTACGTTTAACACGAACGAACGGCAAAGCTGGCGAATTAGCACCTCACACCTAAACTGTGAAGAGTTCGTGCACTCAGTCTTAAATGAAACAATTCCTTTAATTGTCTATGGAAAATCTATTTTGGTCGAACAAAGGAAAACATTTAAATCGACCACATACAATCACAATGTCAAGGGTGAGTCAGCCCCGAAAGTATCTGATGTCTTTTCTGGGTTTACAAAAAAAAAGTTATAATAATGCTACAAAAACTACTACATGACGTGTCGCCTGATGTTTTCTCGTATTATCAGGTACATGACTAATCGAATGCCTTGGTTTGGTATTGAGTTGAAAAATATCCTTCACACTATCCATCTCTCCAACTTCTTGATGAACAGTGTCAACTGCCTGATGAACAATAATTCCAACTTTCTGATTCACACTCTAGTTTGATCATTCTTGAAATCTAAAAATTTCCTGATGCCGGTCTTGTTTCCTTTTTGTCTTCGCGAGTTTCGACATTCAATTAAATGTTTAAGCGAAAAGTTGAAAAATATAAAGCTGATTGCATGACTGACGGAGATTAATAAGCTTGTCAAATAGTTTCACCCTCAGATGTATCAACAGGAGGTCGATTACTTTCAAAAATAAGTTCACAAGCTGCCTAATTTGTTGTCACATCCAGTAATAAGTGAAAAATGATTATTATTTAATTGAAACACAAAATATTGAGCTTATACATATAATCTCATATATTTAGAATAATTGCATTTTAACAAGCAAAGCAGATAACTGAAAGCACAACATTACTTTCTAATGGAGCTAATTATACGCTCCATATGCTTGAAAGAAATGGGAAAACTACAAAAGCCACAACATCAAAGCAACAATTTGAAATTATTTTAACTGCCTCCGTTCCGATCGCGGTTTATATTCTCTTTTATGTTCAAATAATTGCGGAAACGTTTTGCTCAAATATTAACTGTATAAAATCTTGATTAGCTCTGCTTTTAAGCTTGGGGAAAATGTACCATGTTTTTCAAATTATCTTGGGCTGTTTACTTTTTTATTTTAAGCTCGGCCAAAATCAACACTAGGTATTGATCCTTAAATTTTGTTATTGATCACGTTTCAAATTACGTGACAAATCCAATCTTTGGGCGCTTTTAATCTACTTACTCCAATAATTCTAAATGTGAAAACGTAAATTAGCCCCTATATAAAAGGTGTAACAAAACAACATTCCGAAAAGGTAAACTTCAAAACATCTGCAATGGAACTTGAATAATTTCGCGCCCCCTTCGATATTTCCACTTCTCGGCTCACGAAAACTTTCCGAGGTGGGGCAAGACGCCCGGTTTTACTGAATTCGCCACAGGAAATTATATAAACATAAACTTTGCTTGTCGATTTATTTCCAAACTGCAGATTATTACTTCCAAATTGAATTACATGACCTCAAACATGTTGACAAATTCATAATCCGTAGTTATTGCATGTATATACGCTCGTGTAATGTACCTACACCATTCTCGCGAACTGCATATAAAGTTTGTTTTGATTTCGATTTAGTGAGTTAGCTCATACAATCATCGCCATGTATATATTCCATCATAGTCTTCTGTTGAAGAAATTATGCTTCTGCATCTTTGCATTGTAGAAGTTGTCCTCAAATATTAAGCCTCAAGACTCTGTAAATCCTTGGAATCCTCTCATCACCGGCCTTGATATAAGAAAGAGCGACAGACTTGTCAGTTCTTTTGCAATCCCTCCGACAATGCAACCTTTAACAGTTCTGGTAAGACACAACGTTGACCCAACCATTATCGGCTGGATGAGATGCATGTTGAAGAATAGAGATGTTCAACTAAATACAGAAGGCGTGAAGGTAAGAAAGCTTGTCAGTAGAGGCTCTCAAACCTTGAAATTATCTTTGTCATGAATGAAGATTCTGAAACATCACCTTGACTTGTATACGTCAACACGTTTATATTAACGTCAAAATATTCAGATATCTTTATAACAAATTGGTAGTGTATTAAAAAAAAAAATGGCAGAAGAAGGTGTTGCAGATCCATTAGAGGAACAAGCAGAAGAACCACCAATTGAGCCGACAACAGACTTACCATCTAGGAATGTAACCGAAGGTGAGAAGAAGCATTCATTCACAATCAGCAAGGTCCATGTAAGACCAGGAAAACCTTTCACTCCGTTGGAAAAGGACACTCTTAACTGGGCAAATTGTTTAAACAGTTCACCAACTATTCAGGTAAAATCCAGTCCTTATGTTCCAATGCCTTACACTTTCCGATTACCTCCGGCCCCAAAACCGACTCAAATTAAAAATGTCGTTGGTAAAAGCCCTCCATTTCACACACTAGTCGATCATACTATTGCCGTGATTTGGATGATGTTTTCTTCGGAAAATTATGACTCGCCCTTGGGAATTGTCCAGTTGCAATGGGCATTGGCTTTTCTGAAAACCATATTTCTTCGTACCGGAGAGAGACCTAAAGATGTTGAAATCTGTATTGACGCGATAGAAGATGTTTTACTCGAAAAATATGCTAATTTGTCCGAGCAATTGGAAAGAATGACAAAAATAAATGAATCGTCCCATTACGCTGATGGGGCCTTCGGCTCAATGACAGTAGTCACGAAGGATTTTCCCTTTTCAGCCACTTATGCCGACTTGGTGCATAAGCTGGGAGAAATAGAAGTTCATGCAGATCCATCAATAACCTCCCAGCAAGCCGAAGAGGAATTGAATAATCTCAAGAAAGCCGCTGGAGTACAATCGATTGAAAAACTTGATTCGGTGTCCAAAGAAAAAGCTATAAACGTATTGAAAATGTGGCGAGTTGAACAAACGGGTAAAATAAAGGAGGAAATCAAGAAACTCAAGTTGATACAAGAACAAATTAATAATGTCAATGATGGTACTGCTCAGTTTTTGGACGCAGCGCAAATGGAAGAACTTTTTATTGGAGATGATTGAGGAATTAAACATATTTATATAATTCATGTTCAATGAAAAATGTTGGACTACGACTTTCAGAGTGTTGTGAGTTAGAATTGTTTGAATATGTTACAGGATTGTTCAGTATCAATTAGGTCGTAACAAAAGCTTGTTTTAAAATATATACGCATCGCTCAACTGTAGTGCAGTACTCGATTGCATTTGTAATTTTCTATATTCTATCTACCAAAATTTTAATTTTGATTTTGAATTTAAAGAGCCATGTTTCTGATTTTGAGGAAAGTGAATAGGTACCTTTATGTATAACCTGCCTTCTATAATATATTAAACGTACTTACAGAAAGTAATTAGCCAAGATAAGGAAAGTCAGGCGAATACATGAGAATTGAACATGAAGTAACACCTAGCTGTATTCTCTTCTTTCTTGTATTTAATATGTAGTCCCAAGGAACCTCAAGTCAACAATGAAATTCGGAAACAGCAATTAGAATTATTTTAAATAGGCTTTTTCTATGATTCAATCATATATGAAGACGATATTATTTAGCTTCCCGTTGCATAAAATTTGTCATTCGCAAACTAATGCACCACATTCCGGGAAATATTAGTCATAACATGGCTACACAACTGATAAATGTACGACACACAGCCATAGAGATTGCACGCTAAAACTACATCGAAATGAACGGTTTTCCGTTTAGGTCCACCGCAATTATTATGCATATTGGTTCGGTTCAGCACAACTAGTTAAAAGCCAAGATGGATGAGAGATGAACTAGAAATGCGCTCGCCTAGTTCTAAAGTCGCATTAACTCTAACATCCTTTCCAAGGGGCCCGATGATGCAACGATATGGCCAAGATTTATGTGCAAAGTTTCGTTCCCAATTTCTGAAAATGGATGTTGAGGAATTCTTGTTAGAAAACTAGCCGATTTGATAATTAGTTAGGCTTAAGACCTCATTGACGTTGAGTAGTTATATTTATCGGCTCAAACGGATTAGCGCATTGATGCAAATTTTCAGCTTTTGTTTGTAATACAACATTTTAACTAACTTGGATGGTAAAGCTACACCCTGTTAGCTAATGGAACATTTTCCATGTAACTGATACCTCGAAAACAATTTCTATCAAACATTGTATTTTGTAAATACCTACCTTGCAAAGGTTCGCTAAATTTGAGCGAATAGGTACGTGCAATTTCGTTAATTAGAATTCACCATTTGTGATGACGGTTTTAATTGAAATAGTGCCCATTACTAAGATTACGTTTTTATCAAAATTAACTCTGTCATATTCAATTAAATTGTATAGAATTAATATATAAAAAAAACTACCTACTGTAAAATTGAATATCTAAAAATCGAAGCAATTTTCTCGAAATTATATTTGGATTCTTTCGGCATTTTCAAATTTAACCAACTATACAATTAGTGTAACTGAATATTTACATACTATCGTAATTATAAATTCCCAACGGGTTTACATAAATTTGAATATTGAATATTTTAACCGATGACAGTAGGATTACCATACATAATACTCATGGCATAACTAATTATTGTAACGAATGTTTTCCTCATAATTTTATTAAAAAAATCCAATTGCAATTGCTGAAAAATTAACGCATGTATTGTATTTACAACAAACTTGATTGGCTCATCAATTTGAGAAAAAAAACAAATTTCAGTAAATATATGTATATATATATATTTTTTTGAAATTTCTTTGGAAAACACAGTGTTTTTACCAAAGCTTCAACACACTATCAATTACTCATACTATGAGTTTGTATTACTCTGACACGGTCAGATTTATGTAATACGAGCGATTTTGCTATTGTAAGACAATGGAGGAACCCAAGTTCTCAATCATTGGGCACTACCATCAATAGCAGACCGGTTTCGAGCTTCTTATGTTAGATCTGAAAGACCAATATCTTTCTTACCGTTTGAATCTCCTGCAAACCTGTTTCTCTATGTTGTGTGCTTTCGCCTATATTGCACTGATGAGAGCATAACAAGCTCGAAACCGGTCTGCAATTGGTGGTAGTGCCCAATGATTGAGAATTCGGGTTTCTCCAATGTCTTACAATAGCAGACCCGCTCGTATTATATAAATCTGACCGTGTCAGAGTAATACAAACTCATAGTATGAGCAATTGCCAGTGTGTTGAAGCTTTGGTAAAAACACTGTGTTTTCCAAAGAAATTTCAAAAATCTCTGATTTGACACACTGTCTAGAATTTCTTTGATTTTAAATTTTTTTTTTTTTTTTTTTTTTCAAAAATATTGATTTTTCTAATATATTTTTTGTTGTGTGATTAGTTTGCGTTGCATTCATGAGAGCTAGTTGGCAGTTGATTCTTCTGAGGACCCCTTCGTTGATGTCTCGGTCAACCTAGAAAATTCTTAAGATTCTTCGGTAAATCCACAGTTCAAAACGCTTGATCCTTTTTTCTGTTGCTTTAGACAACATCCAAGTTTCGACACCATACGGTACCACTGAAAAAATAGAGCATTTTATCATTCTCTTCTTGAGGGTCATGATGCGACAGCAGAGAAAGTGCTCCATTTGTGTAAACACTGTTCTGGCATTCTATATTCTAAACTTCATTTGTTTGGAGTGATCCCATGATTCATTGATTTTACAAGCAAAGTTAGTGAATCTGCCCACTCTCTGGAAACAAGCCAGTCAGCTGGAATCGTTTTACTCTCATATATTTTATTAAATAGTGACGTCAAGGTGGTAATACAATGCTGATCTTTAATTTCTTAAACACCACGCTAATATATGGTCGGGACCAGAAGATTTTCTGCAATTTCAATGGCATGTTCAACTTGGGTGTTGTCAACCAATATGTGATGATCAAGGATATAACTGGCCCTTCAATATTGTTTGTTTTATCAGGTTTTTCGATACACTGATTATTCTTGAAGAGTTCAATTATGTATTTCTGCCACGTTTTCATTTTTTCGTTCACTTCATAGACAAGCTTGCCCCGTTCATCCATAATGTTCTTCTTTTATTGTGTCTGCTTGCGACTTTTTTGATGTTTCTGTACATATTGGTACAAATTAATTTTAGTTTATATGTTCTTTAAAACAAGAGAACCTATAGGGTCGTGCAATTCGAAAATAAAAATAACGTGTCACTCAAATTCTAGCAAACAATAATTTTATTCAATATTTTTTTTACAATATAAGTAACACTGTTACTTTTCTTTAAAATTTGACAGTTAACAGTTTGGTTGTTTTGGTGAATCTGACACAATATGTACCTTTCCCATCCGAAGCGCTTCAATGGATGTTGGGGTTCTACTTTCGTGAACTGGACCTCTTCGTGTTGTTTCCTGTATCCAGGAAAGAGGATAGATTGCCGGTGTGACGTCACTCCAGCTGATCCAGACTCCAACTAGTGATCTTTGTGTCGAGTAGGTACCCGGAAAAGAATAAGGCAGTATCAGGTTCACCAAAATTTGGAATATTGAATCTCTGAATTCTGTCAAAAAGCGAGTGTCTTGCAAAGAAAATTTAAATTGAAATTAGTTTATTATAAAACTATTGTTGTGCAGACACTCTTTTCCAACAGAATCAGGTAAGTATGAGCAACTATTGCAAATTGGAAAAATATTTTAATATATAAAAAAAATTGAATAATTTAAAAAAATAATAATAATAATAAAATAATAAAGTCGTAATAATTAGGTAAGTATACAGCAAGATTAAAGATATATGCTCTTTATAATTGAGGAAAATGCTGTTTTCCTGGCAGTCGCACTAAACAGGCAAAATTTAAATAAAAAGAATGTAAGGAAAATTGAACAAGATAAACAAAATAATTTTCTAGATTTTCCCCAAATAGATAAATCTCACTTTTTAAGTTAAGGTACCTACTATAGGTACCACAAGATAAAACTGAGAGTGAAATTAATTAAATCCCGGAATTGTCAAAATTATTGAGATGTTTTAATTGAAACTTTTCAAATGAATTTTTGACCTAACCGGATTTCTATTTTAAAAATTTCACCTTTTTTTAGCACTCTTCTTCTCGAGAAAAAAATGAGAGAGTCAAACAATAAATGTCAATATAGGCCTCTGCCTGGATTCGGTAAAATGTTGATAGGGATGGACACACAAATTTGATTTGCACGACTCTATTTAGAGTATATGGTCCAATAATCCCACACTAACAATTGATTCTGAAAACCAGAGCAGCAGGACCTATTTATTAGCCAAAACTCTGAATTGACTCGCCTCAGAAAAACGTGGGACCACCAATCGCAAAAGGGAGGCACACAATAAGATTTTAAAAAAATTAAAATATATTTCAAGCATGGCATATACGAGATACGACATAGAATGTCATTCCAAAATGACTCAAACCAACAATTTTGTGAGCGATAGATCAAAAGAGGAGAACCTATCAGGTGGCCAGCGCAAAGTACTGATTCCACCCCAATGGGTTTTTCCTCTGGGACTACATGAAGTCGTTGGTGTATAGAACTCCTATAGCTACCCAAGATGGGGTAGTACAGATCCCTGGGGATCTTCGCATGAGGCACGCTGTCTGTCAGATAATACAAGACAACTATTCAGTATAAATTAGACAGATATAGTCTAAGGATAGTGGAAGCATCGGGTACGTTCACCAGCAGTGAACTATTGTCAAAAGTTGAATAATAGTTGACAAAGTGGTGAAAAATCTGGCCTAAGCTACTCAACTTATGCTTTAGACATGCGCAGAGGTTCCAACTGTTTGACATTTCAGACATTTGTGTAGTTGTTGGAATGGAATAATATCCTCGTAGTTCTGCTCTCCATAAATGGTAATTGGAAACATCTCGTTATTATTCCAAATATACAAGATTTTATTTCATGGAAATCATCACCAACCGCTTATTACCCGAAATGAACAGTTACCAGCCCGTAAAACAGACTGGGCTCTCCTACGGTTCCAGTTTCTCTCACTCTTTCCCCACCACAGAAATTTTCATGGGCTATATTACGAGAAGCTATTC